GAGCACCTTGAGGAGCTGAATCGGGCACTGCTCTACTTCGTCTCTATGCCGACGATCGGACTCACCTACAGCAAGGTGACACCGTCGTCCGTACAACTACTCGGCTATGTCGACGCTGACCACGCGGGAGACAAGGGGAATCGGCGTTCCAGAATGGGCTACATCACTCTCGGCACTGCGACCAAAGAGGGACTTTACATGCGGGAGCTGCTCGAGGAAGCAAAATTTGCGACCATGCCTGCCTTCTCGCTATTCTGCGACAATCAATCCGCGATCAAAATCGCAAACAAAAACGGGTTCGCCAATCGAACCAAGCACATTGCCTTGCTGCATTTCTTCGTCAAGGATGAGATCGCGAAGGGGAGACTTCAACTCAGTTACTGCCCCACGACAGAAATGGCTGCAGATTACGCAGCGAAGAAACTGGCAAAGGCAAAGTTCGATTACTGCATGCTGCTGACCGGACAGATAAACGTCACCGAATCTGGACACGTCAGCACTCCAGAAACGAAGGGGAGTGTTGGAAAACACCTCGAAGACTTAAGCGTTTCTGAAGTGTAACACTATACTCGAGGAAAGTCGTATCGGGTACGCGAGTCAACGGAGGTTACATGAGGAGATTGGACGAAAGAATACGAAAGAACGAAGGGACTCGAAGGGTCGCAACCGGAGGTTGTGATTGACCGTTGCGACTGCAAGGGTGGTAACCGAACCGACAATCGAGTCGCTGCGCGACTCGATAACTGTTCCTTCAACTGTATTCTACAACTGCTTCATTTCTTATATTGCTGTATGCTTGTTTCTTTTAATCAATCACTTGCTCTCACATACTAGCGCAAGGGTTTGTTGGAAATACCTCGAACACTTAAGCGTTTCTGAAGAGTAACACTACACTCGAGGAAAGTCGTATCGGGTACGCGAGTCAACGGAGGTTACACTAGGAGGTTGAACGAAAGAACACGAAAGGACGAAGGGACTCGAAGGATCGCAACCGGAGGTTGCGATTGACCGTTGCGACTGCAAGGATGGTAACCGAACAGACAATCGAGTCGATGTGCGACTCGGTAACTGTTTCTTCAACTGTACTCTACAACTGCTTCATTTCTTATTTTCTATATATTGCTGTATGCTTGTTCCTTCAAATCAATCACTTGCTCTCTCACATACTAGTGCAAGGGTTCAACTACTCAACACTTCCGCTGCACTACTCAAGCATCTTGTACAAGTGGGACTTAGTCTCTGAAAAGATCCTAAGGGCTTTTCTCAGCCCAACAGGGTTCAACTACTCAACACTTCCGCTGCACTACTCAAGCATTTTGTACAAGTGGGACTTAGTCTCTGAAAAGGTCCTAAGGCTTTTTCTCAGCCCAACAGTTTCTAACCTTTCAAATTCTTTCACCTACAGAGAGAAGAGGATCGACAGGGCTATCCCTGTGCCACGACATGTTCATCAACCGTGTCTTCCCTTTCACATGGTCAATGAAAGGTGCGACAAGCATGAGTTTGTCCATTCCAATAGAAGTTGTTTGTTGTTGTTAGTCGTAACGGGTACGTGAGTCAACGGAGGTTACACGAGGGGATGGACAAAGAACGCGAAGGGACTCGAAGGGTCGCAACTGGAGGTTGCGACCGACCGTTACAACTGCACGGATGGTAACCGAAGTGATAATCGAGTCGCTGTGCGACTCGATAACCGCTCCTGCAACTGTATTCTACAACTGCTTTACTTTTCCTATCTTCTATATATTGCTGTATGCTTGTTTCCTTTAATCAATCACTTGTTCTCATATACTAGTACAAGGGTTCAACTACTCAACTTCCACTGCACTACTCAAGTCTCACTCTACAACTGGGACTTAGTCTCTGGAAAGTTCCTAAGGGCTTTTCTCAGCCCAACAAGTTTGTCCATTCCAATAGAAGTTGTTTTTTATTGTTACGTTAAAAAGATGCTTGAGAGAGTGATGCATTCAGAGAAGCAATAGCACTATACGAAGTTTGTATCAGCTGCATACACCAGCCACTGAGTGACACTCCCTGCACCACCACTCCCGCACGAAGCAACTCCTTCCACCTCCATTCAGTAAGCTTATCCGTTTCCACCTTCAACTGCCGTAGCCTTGGAAAACTCCCAAGCCCTCCAATGCCAGCAGGAGTGACTCGGGTGCATGCCACCAGAGTGACATGTGTGAGCTTCTCTAGCCGAATTCCAAGCACGAGGCTATCAGAAATCTCCTCGTTGTGCTCCACACGTAACTCGACTAGCACAGGGCACGCACAGAACAGCCTTGCCAGCTGCTCCTCCCCAAGGCCAGTGCAGTGCAGAAGCGCCAGCTACTTCAGCCCTCCAAACGCAGCCGCCCATGTGATGCTCTCAAACGACTGCCGCTGAGTGCTCACACTTTGAAAGGCGGGGGGGGGAGAGGAGGAAGCAAGTGACGACAATTGGCATGAGGAGGAGGTGAGGTCAGCGGGAGCAAGGCACATAGGAGGGGATGTGGATGGGAGATCGGGAGGCAGCCAGGGGAGTGCAGAATCAGAGCTGAGTCGCAGCCATCCAAGGATCAACGAGTCCAGGCGAGGGCAGAATACCTCCACCATAGTCGCATGTTCGGTGCGCCGCACGGATTCAGCTGCTGTGCCTCTACTGCCTGACTGATTCACTTCCTTTAATTCTGATTCCTCCCCATGCCCTTCCTCCCCTTGAGCCCCTTCCACCTGTTGAGCAGCTGCTATGATTTCCACTAGCGCCCCGCCTCCTGCTGATGCTGCAACAGCAACAACTTCACCACTCACTGCTGCGCCCCCACTCTCAGTCCTGGCAGCAGCTTCCACAGCGCGAAACATGGCAGAAGCATGCGAGTCAAGCTGCTCCGTCACCAAGCTCAGCACCTCGCGAATGCCAGCACCAGAATTCAGCACAGTAGCCCGCCCATAAGCCAGGCCTTCGCCTGCAATAGCCTCTACAGTAGGAGGGGCATCGCCCACAGGCAACCCATCGCCAGGCAACCCTCCACGCAACCTATGTCCGAGATCTCCGGCTGCATCCGCTTTGCCTTCCTCCGCAAGGCCGAGAGTGAGAAAGCCTGACGCCTTGGCAGCAGCAAATTCTCGCACCATAGCGTGCTCCATCCGGAGCGTCGATTCATACGCATGCAAACCCAGGCAGGCGGACTGGCACCTGGAGATTGCCATCTAGATCCGCCCAATCGACTCCTTGACAAGATGCGGCGAGTGCACTATGAACTGGTTGGCATACTGGATCTCCATGCGTGCAGTGCCTAGGTACCCCTCAGCTGCATCAACCAGGTTGACGACGTCGCTCAATGAGGAAACTGTGTCGGCATCTGCTGCTGCTGCTGCGGTGCGAATATCCACATACCTTCTCCTCCCTCTTACCCTACTACCTCCTGGTGCAGCTAATACTGCTGGTGATGCTTCTGTTGCTGCTGCTGCTGCTGTTACACCTTCCCTCGGTCTAACCATCGCCCCCTGCCCCCTGCCCACCCCTTCGACCCCCACCGCTTCACCCCTCTCTTCCACACGCACAAGCATCCCCACAAGGCCTTCTAGCGACCCTTGTGCCCCTTCCAGAGCCAGCAACCGCAGGCTGCTGCAGTCTGCAAGCAAACCCGGGCGGAAAGAGGGCAGACCCGAGAGCTTCAAACTTTGAAGCTTCCGACCACACAGGTGGAGCACGGTTTCCAACCCTCCACAGCTGAACAGGCGATAGGTGTCACTGGTGAGGGAGAGTGAGGAGAGGTTGGGGTTGGATCGGGCCAACGATGCCACTCCACGGGTGCATGCCAGGGGGCAGTCGTGGATGGTGAGGGTGGTGAGGGTGCGGAGGGAGCTAGAAAGGGCGAGCACATCGCAAGGATCAAAGACGGAGGAGTGGAGGGAGAGGGAGGATAGATTGGAGAAGGAAGATAGGCCTGAAAGGTGGTTATCCAGGTTGCCAGAATGGATGGTGAGAGACTGGAGGGAGGAAGAGAAAGAGGAAGAGGCGAGGGGAGTGAGAGTGGAGTCGGTGGGGTTGCAGAGGGTGAGGGAAGTGAGTGAGCAGCAGCGGAGGAGGGGGGAGATGTCCCTGGGGGCGAAGCGGAGTGTGAGGGGTTGCAGGGATGGGAAGGAGTCCACAGGGGGCAGCGCTGGCCTGCTGGAGTACGAGGTATGGAGGGAGTGCAGCTCTAGCGATGTCAAACGCCTGGGCGGGAAGAAGAGGGGGAGTGAATCATGAGAAGAGGAGAGGGGAGACAAAGGGGCGTGGAAGGGTGCAAGGCGATGGTAACACGGAGGATAGGACGCGAGGAGAGAGGAAAGCGTTTGAAGTGCAGTGGAAAGGCAGGGTAACAAAGGGCGGTAGACATATGCTGCAAGAGCCTCATCACTCACGAGCACTGCCCGGCGAATTTCTTCCACGCCTTGGGGCTGGTGAAGAAATCCCCGCACGCACCCACGAGCTTCAGCCTATCCAATTTCGGGCAATCCGCTCCGACCCCCGCCAGCAGCCGGTCTCCAAGGCTGACTCGAATCTCCACGGATAAAGTGGTGATGAGGGTAAATACCCCTAGAAAATCATTCAGCTCTTTGAGCCATTCTCCGGTTGTGATTGGCCCTCCGTTTGGGATACAGTCGACATGGAGGGAGCGAGGAAGCAGCCGCGAAAGGCGGTGGAAGCGCGAGCATGTGAAAGCGACGCTGCGGTGATCAGAGTAATCTGCGTGACTAAGAGCGGCCTGAAGAATCTCGTCCGGGAAGGATAGGATGTGACTCTGGCCATCACGCATCCTGATGCCGGATCGCGTGCCGGATTATGAACTACGCAAACAATACATATGCGGGGTTGTAGCCTTCAGGTAGCGCAATCATAGTTTCTCGGCTCTAGCGAGGCGGAAGGCTGAAGACGAGGGGTGTCGGGTGCGTACGAGGAATTCGCGCACTAAGCCAGCTGGTGGATAGTGGGAGCTGACAGGAGAAACACACAGCTTCATACCTGCTACTGTCGCGCTCATATTCGTCACAGCTGTCAATCAGCTCTAAATTGTTTACATAGCATCATCACAAACGACAGAAATACGTCTTAACATGCTACCTTGCTTGAACCTCTAAATATTATCCACTATGGACCTGCAGAAAAAAACGACATATATTCGTAGTGTCTATACTTCATGTTTTCAACAACCATGTTATGTAGTGGGCAGGGCAGCATACTTCCCTTTAACCACCAACTATATCGAGGGTATGCAGCAGGTAGCAGCAGCCTCATACAGCATTCCGCTACTGTCCTCTCCTCCTTGTCCTACCCTCACCTTTACCCCTCGCTCGCCGCAATTGACTTGGCGGAGGCGATTCGCCGCAGAGCAGCGGCTTCCCTGGGCATGGTGGCATCCACAAACGCCGAGAACCGCGACCCTCTGACCTGCAGCAGGGCAGTGGGCGAATCAAGCTCCGCCACGTGGCCGTCCTCCAGCAGCATGACGCGGTGGCAGTCCACTATGGTGTGCAGGCGGTGCGCGATGGTCACCACCGTGCACGCTGCAAACGCCCCTCCCCGCACCGCCGCCTGCACCGCCGCGTCCGTTGCCGTGTCCACATTGGATGTAGCCTCGTCCAGCACCAGCACGTGCGAGCGTCTCAGCAGGGCGCGTGCCAGACAGAGCAGCTGCCTCTGCCCCACGCTCAGATTCCCTCCGCCCTCCGCCACCTCAGCGTCCAGCTGACCTGGCAGCGCCCTCACTGCATCCGCCACGCCTGCTTGCGTCAGCGCCTCCCATAACTCCACATCCCCCCTCATCCCTCCTCCGTAACGCTTCCCCTCCCCGTGTCCCCCACTGCCCATCTCGCTCTCCCCTCCCACCCCAGCACTCGCAGCACTGTACGGGTCCAGGTTCCATCGAATACTGCCGGAGAACACCACGGGGTCTTGTGGGACCAGGGAGAGCCGCGACCTCAGGTCCCTCAGGCCGATGGTGGCAGCATCAACGCCATCAATCACTATTCGCCCTGCACTCAGCTCCACTATCCGATACAGCGCCATGCTCAGCGTCGTCTTGCCGCTGCCCGTGCGTCCACACACCCCCACTTTTTCACCTGCCCGGATGGAGAAGGTCAGTCCTTTGAGCACGGGGGGCAGCTCCGGGCGGTATCTCACCACCACCCCCTCTGCTTCGATCACCCCTTGCTGCGGCCAATCAACAGGCGGGCGGCAGGATTCGACCACATCTGGAGCCTCGGTGGGGAGGGTGGTGTATTCCAGGATGCGCTCCACAGCGTTCATCTGCGACTCCAGCTCAGCATTCATCCTGACCATCCAATTCATGTACCCTGTGATCGACAGCGCACTGGTCAACGCCAGCCCTGCAAAACCAGCAGCCCAGCTGCCCGTGCTGCTGCTACCACCACCGCCACCAGCAGCGGCAGCAGCAGCAGCGGCTGCTGCGACCCCGCCCACCACGCAGAAGCACGCGGTGGCAAACACGCAGGACGCCCCAATCAGCTCCAGACGAAGCCCCAGCCACCGGTTCGATGCCATGGCAGCCAGGTAGGCTTGGGACGCCCGATCCAGATTCCGGTTGTTCTGAACCGAGAACACCAGCTGGCGGCGGAAGGCCCGGACGGTGGAAAGGCCGGTGAGAGTTTCAGAGAAGTGAGCGAAGATGGGCGAGCGCGCGAGCGAGTCGAGGCGCTTGAGCTCTCTGGAAGCGGAGATGTAGAAAGTCTGGATGCGGCGGTAGAGGAGCAGCAGCGGGATGAGCGGCAGCAGGAAGGGCGGCGTGACGATGACTATCACCAGGATGGCAAAGACGACCTGCAAGGGGGGTGTGGGGGGCGGGATTTGAAAGAGGAGATTGCTGGAAAGAGGAGGGAAGGGAGATGCGATGAGAATGAGCAAAACGGATGGTGCAGGACAGGGTTGCGATGCAAGCGGATGAGCGGTTGAGGCTGAGAGAGGAGGAAGCGAGGAGAGCAAAAGATGAGGCAGATAATGAGTACATGCGCCTTTGATGCTTCACCACAGCCAATACAGTGGCCTGCCTCCTTCATTGATTCGAACGCCGGTACTTTTAGCAGCACACGGACGGGGATGAGGAGGGAAGAGGAGGGAGGAGGATGGAAGAGGAGGCTATCTGTGGGACGTGTTACGAGTCGCATTGATCTACCGGGCTCACCTGGAAGAGGCATGAGAGGTAGGAGAGCAGTGTGTCGGGCAGCTGCAGGTCGATCTGCTCCATGTCCCGCGTGAAGCGGTTCAGCAGGCGGCCGGACGGCTGCGAGTCGAAGAACGCCATGGGTAGGCGCAGCACGCGGGACAACAGCCGCGAGTGCAGGGAGCGGGCGGCGGTGAGGGAGCCCAGGGCGAGGAGGATGCCGCGGAGGGAAGAGAGGAGCCCCGTGGCGAACGTGGCGAGGCTGTAGATGAGCTGGTTGGGGGGAAGCGAGGGAGGCAGAGAGCATGGGGGAAGTGAGTGCAAGGTGGGAGCGTGTAGGTGCACGAATGCGAGAAAGAAACGAGGTGTGCAAGGTATGAAAAGGAAAGAACGCAGAGAGCATCGGCGAAAGGAGAGAAACAGATAGTGTGTCAAGCCAACCCAAGGCAGCACCATGCCAGGCGACCAGCCAGGAAGAATCCAGCCAAGGGCGCGCCTCGCTGATGCATGTACCAGGAAGAATGGAGCGGAGGAGGTGCCTTGGCTGGTCTTGGCGGTCCACACGGCGAGCCAGGTGTCGCTGGCCACTTTGAGCGACTGCGACACGGCGAACACCGCCAGCACCAGCAGTGGCATGAGGAAACCCGCCCGCCCGCCCCATGCCCTCATGTACTCCCAGTACACGCCTGCCGCCACCCCTCCCTCCGCCCGCCCCTCTTCCTCCACCAACTGCCCCACTGCCTTCTGCTTCTTCTTGCCTCCACCGCTGCCGCTGCCTGCACTACCACTGCCGCCACCAGTGCTGCCTGCAGTAGGCGCAGCGCCGCTGGCTGCTGTGCATACGGATGACGGGGGTTCAGTCAGCAAGGGGCGTGTGAGGTCATTGTCGCTGTCTGCCATGCTAGCACTGGTGGTAGTGCGCTTTTCAGTAGCCTTCCCCGTGCCACTGCTGCTGCTGCTGCTGCTGCTGCTGCTGATGTCACCAGGGTCGGAAGCTGTGGCAGCAGTGACAGCAGTGGCAGGCGCAGCAGGTGCGCTGTGTTGCCAGGTGCCCGTGCCCTGTTCGCCCTGCTCCTGCTGCTTCTCGTCCCACAGCGCCAAGTCCACGCCCCTGATCGGCCAAGGGAAAGAGAAGAAGCGGCACAGATGGCACAGATGGCACAGATAGATGGCACAGATGGCACAGATGGCACAGATGGCACAGATGGCACAGATGTCCGACAAGAACAGGAGAGCACGAGGGAGTGAGCCCATGCCACAGGTTCATGACGCGGGGCGTGCAACCAAGAGCAGTGAAGAGCAGACGCCTAGTGTGTAGAGCAAAGTGCATACACCAAAAACCGCTTTTGACAGCTCACTGCCAGATCACCTGGTAGCTCACCTGGTAGCTCACCTGGTAGCTCACCTGACAACTCATCTGACAGCTCATCTGACAGCTCATCTGACAGCTCACCTGACAGCTCACCTAAAACCGAACCTGACAGCTCACCTAAAAACGAACCTGACAGCTCACCTGAGAGTTCACTCGAGAGCTCACCTGCCCTGCAGCTCGTCAAACGTGCCCACGGCAGCCACACGGCCGGCCTTGATGGCAATGATGACGTCAGCATGGGACGCATACTGCAGCTGATGTGTCACCAGCACACGCGTGGTCCCCGCCAGCTCACCACAGATGCACTCCGTGAACAGGTGGCGGCCTGTGAGAGGAGGAGGGGCGAATACAGGACTAACCCTTGAAAGTGAGGGTGCCTCCGGCCATATGGACGCGGCATTTGGTACTCACCCTAGATTAATAAATCACACAAACTGTACAAAGACGACAGCGCATTGCCATGCAAACACCCACATGCCCATGCCCATGCACGCACCCACATGCCCATGGCCATGCACGCACCCACATGCCCATGGCCATGCACGCACCCACATGCCCATGGCCATGCACGCACCCACATGCCCATGGCCATGCACGCACCCACATGCCCATGGCCATGCACGCACCCACATGCCCATGGCCATGCACGCACCCACATGCCCATGGCCATGCACGCACCGACATGTGTGTCCACGGCGCTGAGCGGGTCGTCCAGCAGCACGACGTCTGGCTGCGAGTACACCGCTCTGGCCAGCGCCACCCGGTGCTTCTGCCCGCCCGACAGGTTGATGCCTGGGGTTGAGTAACCACAGGGAATGGTGGGTGTGGGCAATGGCGGGAGAGGGGTACGGAGCAATGATGGAGACGTACGTGGGGGGGGGAGAGGAATCGGCCACACATGGGACAATGATAATGCCCTTGAAGCAGGCTGTTGGCAAAAGTTAGGTGGAGACACTAGGTTGGACACACGGGGCAACGAGAGCACACAAGGGGCGAGAGGTATTGGAAATATAAGGAGATAGCGGCGGCAGCAGCACATTGAAGCAGCGCGCTCACCTCGCTCCCCGATCTCAGCCATGTCCCCGCCGGCCAGCATGGCGAGGTCATGCCTCAATGCACACGCGTCTCTCACCCGCTGGTACCGCGCCTCATCCACTGCTCCTTGGGCCGGCCCCCCCATGAGAATGTTGTCGCGCACTGTGGCGTTCAGAATCCAGGGGTCCTGTGAGCGGGGGTTGAGGGACAAGGCACAGGGGCAAGGCAAGGGGCTTAGGCACTTTAATCACTGTAGCGTTCACGGCACCTCTCATCTCGGCGGTGATTCGATTTGAAAGGGGCGGATTGCATGGCTACACGCCCCTGCCGTGACCCTGCTGTGACCCTGCTGTGACCCTGCTGTGACCCTGCCGTGACCCTGCTGTGACCCTGCTGTGACCCTGCTGTGACCCTGCTGTGACCCTGCCGTGACCCTGCTGTGACCCTGCTGTGACCCTGCCGTGACCCTGCTGTTACCCTGCTGTGACCCTGCTGTGACCCTGCTGTGACCCTGCTGTGACCCTGCCGTGACCCTGCTGTGACCCTGCTGTGACCCTGCCGTGACCCTGCTGTGACCCTGCTGTGACCCTGCTGTGACCCTGCTGTCTCTCTCTTCTCTTCCATCCCTCACCCTGTTCCCCCCTCTCACTGCCACTCCATTCCCCACGCCCCAAAGGGCCACCTGCCTCGTGCACGCCTCACCTGCCTCGTGCACGCCTCACCTGCCTCGTGCACGCCTCACCTGCCTCGTGCACGCCTCACCTGCCTCGTGCACGCCTCACCTGCCTCGTGCACGCCTCACCTGCCTCGTGCACGCCTCACCTGCCTCGTGCACGCCTCACCTGCCTCGTGCACGCCTCACCTGCCTCGTGCACGCCTCACCTGGCTGGTGTACGCCACCCGTCCTGCCACCGACACGCTCCCCGCCACTCGAGTGATTTCCCCCAGCAGCCCCGCCAGCAGCGACGACTTGCCCGCCCCCACCTGGGGAAGGCGGGGAGAGGCAGGACATATGGAAAAGGGGATTGGAGGCACAGGGGAGGAGGGAGGAAACTTACGGGGAAACTTAAAAGTCGCCTGAATGACATCACCCAGCAGCCCGACTAGCAGAGACGTCTTGCCTGCTCCCACCTGGGAAATAGAGGAGAGGGGTGGACGACAGGGGGTTTATGCAGGGCAGCAGGGGGGGAGAAAGAGCGTGCAGAGAGGAAAGGATGGGGAAGGGGTGAAGAATGGGAGTGGGGGGGGGAAGAGCGTACAGTGGAGAGCAGGGAGAAGAGGAGCTGAGACAAAGGTGATGGCTCCTGCCCACTCAGTTGAGCTGTCATGATGCTTCAGTCGGATAATAAAGAGCGAGTGTGTCCTCTCGATGCCCGAAGATGCTAGGAGACTCCATGTTTGAGCAGGTGCGCAGGAAGGAGCAGAAGCAGCGTAGCAGGTGCGGTGCGGTGAGGTGCACTGACGCACAGTGCGGTGATATGAGGTACATACATGCTTCAGACGCCTGCCGTGGAGCGACATTGAGACACAGCTTGACTAGAGAAAGCACCACCAGGAGCACGGTTACCAGAGCAAATGCATTCCTCCCCACTCCCACCATTTCCCCACTCTCACCTCTCCCACCACCATCACCACTCTCACCTCGCCCACCACTATCACCAGCTGCCCTGGTGGAATTTCCAGAGTCACATCACATAGCGCCAATGCTTGCTCTCCTTCCTCCCCTCCCTCCTTCACCCCCTCCTTCTCTGGCCCCTCCTTCCCCTTCTCCCCGCCTTCACCCGTCCCATTCACAGCCACTGCCACAGCGTTGCTGCTTCCATCTCTGCCACCGTTACTGCCACTGTCGCTCGTGCTGCCGCCAGGGCCATTGATTCCACCGCCACCACTCTTGATCGCACTGCTGTCGCCCCTCCCTCCCCATGAAAACGACGCATTGCGAAGCTTTATGCTGCCCCTCACGCTGCCCGGCTCCTCTTCTAACGGAACAATCTCGGGCAGCAGCAGAAACTTTTCAACGCGGCCCGCAGAGACCTTGGCTTGCACGTAGTCGTTGATCTGATCCGGAATCATTGCGAGTGGAAACCTGCACGAAAAATGAAGGGGTGGATGAAGAGGGGAGGGAGAGCAACACAGCGAATCAGCTTGGGGGCACATGGTTCATGATTTCATCCGGCTTCTTTGTGCCCGGGCACCTGGAAGGAATGGCAGTGCTGGGTGGAATAAGGGGGTCCACCTGAGAAAACGTGGATGGTGGAGAGCAGGGATTTGGAAGTGGTAGAGATGACATGGACATGCAGCACGGCTGGTGTGAGAGTCCGTTGAGTCGAGTGGATGGTTGGAAGGTGCAGTGAAGAATGCAACACGAGCAGACCATGGGACGGACAGAGTGGAGAGGCCTGGGTGCACATGCGATGCGATGGGAGAGGATGATGGGGTTCATACAAGTGCAAGCATGGATGGCACCAGCGCACGTATCGCCTGAGCATATGTCAGCATGCGACAGGTGTCATCAGAGAAGGTGTCAACAGGGCAGGTGTCACCAGGGCAGGTGTCATCAGGGCACGTGTCACCAGAGCAGGTGTCATCAGGGCAAGCGTCACGAGCGCAGGTGTCAACAGGGCAGGTGTCACCAGAGCAGGTGTCACCAGGGCAGGTGTCAGTGGGCAGGTGTCAGGTGAAACTGGAAAAATACCACCTCCTGATTTTCACCTGGCCGGTAAAAGGCATCACCTGAGCGAGGCTCATCTGCGGAGCGTGAGGGCGGGGAAAGGTACCCTCTGTATGTCAGCAGTGAGCGGACACAGGCTTATGTGCACGTGAAGGACGATGATGGATGGGGACTGGAGAGGCGCATGAATGAATCAAGGGGGCCAGAGCAGGTATTACCGGAGCCAAGGCTCGTCTGAGCAGGTACCACCCGAGCCAGGGCTCACCTGAGGAGGTTGAAGAGTGCGAGGGCGGGGAAGGCGACGTCAGCAGTGAGCGGGCGGCCGAGAAGCACGTAGGCGGCGAGCGACACAACGCTGACCACCATGGGCGTCAGGTAGTACACGAACAGACCCATGGCCTCTGGGGGTAGGGATGGCAACGAGGGAGGGGTATAAGGGGCAAGGGGCAAGGGGCAAGGGAGCATTGGGCAAGGGAAGCACATAGGCGGTGAGCACGACCGCGCCGACCACCATAGGCGCGAGATGGTACTCGAACAGACCCATGGCCTCTGGGGGAGCGGAATAGCTGGGGTAAGGTGCGCAAGATGGCAAGGGGCGATCGCCACCATGTGGCCTCAGGTAGTACACAAAAAGACCCGTGGCCTCCGGCTCTGGGGGTCTGGAAGAGCGCAGTGAGGCAAGGTGATGGGGACGATGGGGCATTCGGATTGGAAAGACATAAGAACAAAGAAGCAGCAGCACACCCACCCAGCAGCACGGAGGCGGTGATCTCCTTCATCTCGTCCGCCCGCCTGGCCTCTATCCGCCCTCTGAAGAGCGCCTCCCACCCGTTCAGCTTCACCGCGCGCACCGCCCCCACCGTCTCCGTCAGCAGGCGCACGCGCGCGTCCGTGCGCGCGATGAGGCGGTGGCGCACGGCGGAGAGGCGGCCCATCAGCAGCCCGTTGAAGGGCATCAAGAGCAGCATGGTGGCCAGCCCCGCCAGGGCTGCGGGAATTGAGAAGAAGAAGGGGGAGAAGAAAGAAGGGGCGTCTGTGTGAGCAGGCGCACGCGCGCGATGAGGCGGTCCCGCACGGCGGACCGGCGACCCACTAGCCGGCCGTTAACGGGCACGAGTAGCAGCATGGTGGCCAGAAAGTCCAGGGCTGCGAAGATGGGAAATGGAAGAGGGGGAAGGGGCTGCTGCGCATGGGCCACTGGGATCCTTTCAACGGCTACAGGTTCCGTCCTGGGGATTGTGGGTGCACCAACCCACCGGTTCAACACGCCCTTTTAACCCAGTCAGTTGCAAACTGGTGTTTCTGACAGGGGTGTGGTATGGCACAACAACATAGTATGACATGATATGGAACGGTTACAATATGGTATGACACGGCATGGCATGGCATGGCATGGCATCGTATGGTATGGCGTGGCATGGCATGGCATGGCATGGCATGGCGTGGCGTGGCGTGGCGTGGCGTGGCGTGGCGTGGCGTGGCGTGGCGTGGCGTGGCGTGGCGCGGCGTGGCGCGGCGTGGCGTGGCGTGGCGTGGCGTGGCGTGGCGTGGCATGGCATTGCATGGCGTGGCGTGGCGTGGCATGGCATGGCATGGCGTGGCATGGCGTGGCATGGCGTGGCATGGCGCGTGGCGTGGCGTGGCGTGGCATGGCGTGGCGTGGCATGGAATAACATGGCAAGGGCCCTACCTGAGTGCGGAATGGACTCACCAGGGATGACGGAGAGGAAGCGGAAGAGGAAGGCCAGTGCACCTGCAGTGGCGGGGCAATTGGAGCAGTGGAGAGGAGAGAACGGATGGAGAGGAGAAGGGTGGGGAGGAGAAGCAGGGAGCGATGTTGAGTGTCTGATTTCCTGCAATGAGCTCGAGCAGCCATGCTGCCATGCAGCCATGCTGCCATGCAGCCATGCTGCCATGCAGCCATGCTGCCATGCAGCCATGCTGCCATGCAGCCATGCTGCCATGCAGCCATGCTGCCATGCAGCCATGCTGCCATGCAGCCATGCAGCGGTCCTTCCTTCCTGCGAAGAATGACTGAACCTTCTACCCTGGAAGCATGATCGACCCATACTCTATGTGGCAGAGCGCACCTCATTCCCACACCCTTCACGTCCCTCTCTTCCATTCCCCACCCTTTCCCAACCACCCCCGCTTCCATCCTCCTCCCCACCCTCCCCTTCCCCTTCCCCCCACCTTTACCGCACATCCACTCCCTCTCACCGATGATCTGCACAGGTCCGCTCCACACGATGTGCAGATAGATGCACAGCTTCGCCAGCTTCTCCGCATCATTGCTCTGCAGATTCACCTGATCAGGTGGAAACAACAGAAAGAAGGTTGCGAAGCAGGGTGTGAGAGCACTTTGGCGGGGGCTCGTGCCGCAGCCCACTTCACAGGTACGAGCAGTGCAAATGAAAGGCCATTTGAGGCGTGATGGAAGCGCGAAAGAAGAGAACACGAGCAGACGTGTCACTTGGTTGCTTGCAGATGACACCCTGCTACAGGCGGAGCTCTGCCACAGGCGGCACTATGCTACAGACGGCACCTTGCTACAGGAGGAACTCTGCCACAGGCGGCACTATGCTACAAGCAGCACTATGCTACAAGCAGCACTATGCTACCGATGGCACCCTGCTATAGGCGGCACTCTGCCTCTTGGCCTTACTATCTCCCCAAGGCTGGTGGAGTGGCGCGCTGCAGCGGAGATGCGGAGCGCCTTGGAGTAGATCAATGACACGAGGCCTGTGCGCACCTGGGAGGGGGACAGGCACGGAGGGGGCGAGACAGGAGGGGGCGAGACAGGACAGAAGGGGTGAGGTGCGAGTGAGTGGGAAGAGACACGAGGCCCTTCAAGAGCCTTGAAGTAGATCACAGACACGAGCCCCATGCGCACCTGCGGGGGCAGGGGATAGGAGGGGGTGGGACGAGAGAGAGGTGCAGTGGGGCAGCAGGGGGCGAGAAAGCAGGGAGCGGGAGAGCGATGAGAACCCTGCCCACATGCAAGGGTGGTGATAGAGCATGCGGCGGAGAGAGGGGGCGAGAAGCAAGGACGGAGGACATAGGTCCGAGTGGGGTGAGGGGTGAATGGAATGCATGTGAGAGCAGGACATGAGACGCTGAAGGAGATGAAACGCTGAAGGAGATGAGACGCTGAAGGAGATGAAACCCTGAAGGAGATGAAACGCTGAAGGAGATGAAACGCTGAAGGAGATGAGACGCTGAAGGAGAGGGGTGGGGGGAGATGGAGAACGACGCAGCAGCAGCACATTGGAGAGATGCACATGGGAGGAGCAGCACGTTGCTTTCATGAGAAGCAGTAGAGGCAGACATACATGCGAGGAGAGGCGGTAGAGGCAGACATACATGCGAGGAGAGGCGGTAGAGGCAGACATACATGCGAGGAGAGGCAGTAGAGGCAGACATACATGCGAGGAGAGGCGGTAGAGGCAGACATACACGCGAGGAGAGGCGGTAGAGGCAGACATACATGCGAGGAGAGGCGGTCGAGGCAGACATACATGCGAGGAGAGGCGGTAGAGGCAGACATACATGCGAGGAGAGGCGGTAGAGGCGGTGGAAGTACTGGTGGGCGATGAGCGACTGGCACACGTTGCACGCCAGCAGCACCAGCGCTAGCAGCAGCCCCGGCAGCCATGCTGGTAGCGAGTCAGCTAGTGACAAGGATGAAGAGGCGCCAGAGGATAACGGGGGAGCAGCGTGCACTGCCTCGCGGGAAAGCGCGCGCGCCAACGAGGCAGCAGGTGCGCTGGTGGGGTGGGCGGGTGGGTGCGGGACGAGGGAGAGGAGCGGGAAGAAGATCCAGGCGAGGAGAGCGGGTGCTGGGGGGAGCGAGGGCAAGGAGGAACCCAAGGGCGCAGTTGGGGGGGTGAGAGGGGCAGAGAGGAGGGAGCGGTGGAGGGTTGGTGTGAGGGTGGAGGGGAGAGAGAATGAGGAATTGGAGGGGAGGGGCGAGGGACCAGGGAGACGGCCGACTGAGCTGATGCTGATGGCTGCTGCGGTGGGATCAAGAAATGATGTGCTTGTGCCGGAGTATGGAAGAGGAGGAGTGCTGACGTGGAACGACGTCATGCTGAGGTGGAGGATAATCTGTTGCAGCAGCAGCGGCGAGGCGAGCTGAAGCAGGTCGTGGAAGAGCTTCAGCGCGCCCGCTGCCACGAAGGGCGCAAGAAACGCTCTGATGAGCGCACGGGCTAAGGACGGAGGCCTGACGAGAGCAGGGTGAGAGGGGGAGAAGAGACGAGGTGAAAGGCAATTGAAAGGGGGAGAAGCGGACAATTGAAAGGGGGAGAAGAGGACGATTGAAAGGGGGAGAAGAGGACGATTGAAAGGGGGAGAAGAGGACGATTGAAAGGGGGAGAAGAGGACGATTGAAAGGGGGAGAAGAGGACGATTGAAAGGGGGAGAAGAGGACGATTGAAAGGGGGAGAAGAGGACGATTGAAAGGGGGAGAAGAGGACGATTGAAAGGGGGAGAAGAGGACAATTGAAAGGGGGAGAAGAGGACGATTGAAAGGGGGAGAAGAGGACAATTGAAAGGGGGAGAAGAGGACAATTGAAAGGGGGAGAAGAGGACGATTGAAAGGGGGAGAAGAGGACGAGGCAATTGAATGGAGCGGCAGCGGCGAGGCGAGGTGCACGAGATGGTGGAAGCGCTCAGCGCGCCCGGTGCTGTGAAGGGCGATGCGAACGCCCTCGCTAGAGCACGGGCCAGGGAGGGAGGCGTGGAGACAGCAGGGCGAGAGCGGGAGGAACGGAATCGAGGCCGTCCCAGCAGCAGCAAGGGAGACGCCTGCTCTCTCGCTCAGTGCGCGTCCCTCACCCGGGCGCCACTGCAGAGGTGGAGTCATGGTGGCAGAGAGGGGGCACGTTAGCAAGTCTGCTCGATCTGTGCCCCACATACCTGTCGGTGCGAGTTCTCTCCCTCTCCCAAGCCTCCCTAACCCCCGGCGCCACAGCAGCGGTGGAGTCGCGGTGGCAGAGGGGCGGCAGGTCTGCCGCCTGCAGCACCTTGGAGTTGCCGAGGCGGATGAGAGGCGTCACCCACGCGAAGGTCAGGCGGGAGAGAAGGGAAGCCGCCTGCTCTGGGGATGGCTGCTGGGGGGAGGGCGAATTGGGGACGGCGGGAGGGAGACACGCCGAATGAGACGCGGATGAGCGGCGGCTGGGAGGGGTGGCCCACGCCAGCTGAGGCGGACATGAGCGACGCCGCTTCCTTCGGCGGTTGCGGCGGGAATAGAGGAGGGGGTGGGGGCGTGGGGACGGGGTGGTGCGGAGGGGGGAGATGGAGATGTTGACGCGTATGAAAGGCGCGACATCGGAGAGGGTGAGAGGGGGGAGTCGCGATGGCGCCTTCGCTGGTGAGTGCGGCCGGGAGGGAGGGAGAGGCGGTGGGGGGTGGTGGGAATGGGTGGAGAGATGGTGTTGCCCGGGCGAATTAGGCGCTAAGGAGTGGCGGGATCAGAGAGCCATCTGCGCGTCCTCCTCCCCACAATTCGGCCGCCTCACCTCTGCGACGCCATCACGGCCGTCCGTGGCGGCCGCCATCACGAATCAACGGCGCCCCACGCGCCTGCCGCCAATTGCTTCCAACGATCCACGATTCGTCAACCTGCTGCGTCGAGGCGCGCGGTTGCAATGTGCAGCAGCTGCTGATCGATCGCACGAGCAGGCACGTGCACTCGATGGCGATGTGGCTACACTAGACCGGCGATGGCCATCGGGATCTCGCCCGTTGAGTCAACGACCCCGATCCGATCCCAACTCTTGGGCCGCCTCGTAGTAGTCTCGAATCTCGACCTTCCAAGAAATCTTCATTAAGGGCGCTCCTTTCCTTTCTACGCGGAGGTGGATTCCAGCCTGCTTCGTCGTCTACCCCCAGTTCGAATTTGTGGAATGAGCGGTGTGGGTGCGGACACGTGTGGGTTTCTTTTTCGCCTTTGAGGTGATCCTTTCTAATGTCAATCATGATGGCTGCATTTAGAATTGCCGATTGTTAGAAAAAGGCCAAGTAGGCAACAAGTCTACAATCTCAAACGACATGGCAGGAATCTTCTCATTACCATCTCATTATGCAAGAACACGTGCTTTATAATGATATTTTTTGTTTATCCTTGTTATGCCAAGTATATGAATATACTATTTGCATAGTATAGCGCACTTCGTTTGTGATTTATTTATAGTAGCCTGCAATGTAGTCGAATTGCTCCTACCCACAATCGCGTATCTGCCTTTCGCCTTCTGCGGGTCTGGGCCCCTGCACTCTCCAGCCCTGCTGTCATTCATGAGACACGTGATGTCCGCCTCGCGTTGCTCGCACCGCTCGACCCACCCGTTTGTTGAGCCCTAGCTGCGCACCGTCGAATCGAGTGTCATTGCATCTTTCCGCGTGCTGCGCGCCGCTGCGATCGTCGCGTTCGCAAGAACCTCTTGAGCATCTCACAGCCCAAAGCGGAGCTCGTGTCCGCAGCACGGCGGTTTCACTCCCTGCGTGTCATTTCTCGTACCGGCAGCGCGGTCTCGACCGACAGCCTCTCTCGCGTCCACCCATCTCGAATTCCTCGAATGGCTACTCGCGTTTCTCCCGCCGTCGATTCGCCAGCTTTGACCTCAGCAGCGCTAATCTCAGCCGTCGCCGGCCAGCCGCATCCCCCAAGTCCCTATTCCACTGCCCTCACTCCCCTGCGCTTGCGTGCGCTTCTCTGCGGGAACGCGGGGGAGAGTTCGGGGCGCAAGCGCGGTAGCCGGGGCTCGCAACGATGCCGCGAGACATGGTTGGGCGGACCTTGTTGCTGGCAGGCACGAATCACTGGCAGGCAGATTGTTCTGGCGTTGGCAGGAGGAAGCAGCGGACACGAGGGCGAGCCGCTCCTCGGACATGCGACGCACTGCCGGATAACGACTTGCTACCGCCCGGTTTTGATGCGCGCACTGATCCCGCGATATGTGCGTGTGGAGGCGATTAATCTCCAGCCACGATGCCGCCGCGCGCAGTTCGTCTCAAAAGCCTGCCGGAGATCATTCCCGCGTCCCCTAGTCTGAGCTCCGCCTCCGCCGCTCCCACCGCTTCCGCCCATCGCAGCAGCGCGCTGATGCCTTCCTCCTCCCCCACCCCCCTGGGCGCAGGGCGCAGGGGGAGCGAACGAAGGGGAGGGGCGGATGGAAGGCAGAGAGGTCTGGGGGGTGAGGGGGAATGGGCGGGCGGGGGGAATGGAAGGGCAGGGGGAGGGGTGAGTGCGGATGGTAGGGGGCGCAGATGGGGGAACGAGGGGGATAAGGGAATGGGGGCGGGGGATGCGGTGGTGGTAGACATGAGCGGTGAGGGGGAGGGGGATGGGGGGCATGAGGAGGAGTTCAGGTACCTTCGCCGTGTTTCCAACCAACAGCATGGCGCCACGTGGCTGTTCCATGACGTCATCGCTGCTCTGCAGTCCTCCTCTGTTTTCCAGCTGCCAGCAACCAGCAGCAACCGCAATCCTCCGTGGGCTGTGCCTCACAGCCCCACCCAGGTACCACCTCCCCAGGCACCGCCTGTGTGGGCGGCTGCGGCATCAGCAACCAGGCAGCGCTATCCGTCCTGCCGTCCGCGCTCTTCTCCGTCCTGCACTGCCTGGCCACCGGCCAGCTCCTCGCCCTCGTCACACACCACGCCTTCACCGCGCGCCACACGCTCGTGGCGGCAGCGCTGGCAGAGGGGGTATTTGCGCTGCTGGGGGGCGTACCAGCCACAGCAGCCGCGCCCAGCGTGCTGGTAGCGGCGCTGATGGGGGGGCTCTACCGCTTGACTGCGGCGCTCCGTCTGCCCTTCCTGCCCTGGGCGGGCTGGGTGGGGCTCTGGGCGTTTGTTTGCCTGCTGCTGGCCGCTGCTGCTAATGCGTGCAGGCTGGCGGACCAGTGGTCTGCTGCCACGTGGCGGGTGGAAGGGGCGTTGACGAGTGGGGTGCTGTTTGTGGGCGGAGTGCAGATGGGTGCAGAGTGTTTCAGACAGGCAGGGGCGGTGGAAGGAGGAGAGGGAGGAGAGGCAGTGGCGTTTGCTACAGTGTGTGTGGCCGGTGCAGGTGTCATAATTGCGCTGTGGCTTAGAAGGGCTGCCACATGGCATTTTTTTAGTGGCTACATCCGTGGTTCACTTGCGCACTATGCTCCGATACTGGGCTTCCTCGCATCAGCGGGTATGTTCCTTCTCGTGCTAGCTCACACACTCTTCACCCTCTCTCTCACTCTCTCTCCACCCTCTCTCACGCTCTCTCTTCACCCTCTCTCACGCTCTCACTCCACCCTCTCTCATGCCCGCCTGCACCCTCCCATTCGCATGGCATATGCGGGCGTAGCTTGTGTTGCGTGCTGCAGCTTGCCTTGGTGCTTATCGGTGGAATGTATTGTCACCAGGGCGTCTCTTCCATTTCTCCGTCATCACATCTCTCTCTTACTTTCCCTCGTTGCACTGCTTCCACCTCCCTCCATTCTCCCCGCCCACTCCCCTTCTCCCCTCCAGTGCTCCTGGCCGTGCCCCCCTTCCTCCACCTCCCCCTGCTGCTCTCCTTCCAGCTCCCCCTGCCTCTGCTGTCCCCCCCGCCCCACATCCCCCCCATCGCGTGGGGCTCTCACCTGGGGGGAGTGACTGTGGGGGCAGCGGTGGCTGCTGCTGTGCCCGGGGCCGTGCTGGCAGCGCTGCTGTTCCTCGCGCACAACACGGCGGCGCTCACGCAAGAGGTACTCGACTTGACGTACCGCTCTGCTGTTACTTCACTCGACTGTTCGTGCCCAGAACACCAGCGCTGGCTGTTCTGCCCGGTACTGTGCGGTTCCAAGGCAGAACAACACGGCAGCGCTCACACTCGAAGTGGTTGTAGCGAGGGGGCGAGGGCGCACTGAGTGTGACTGCGACTTCAATCCCATCATGTGTCATTTCCCTGCCTACCTCTCTAGGCCTACACCTTTCTATCTGCCTACCACCCATCATGCCTGTGGGACTCAACCACCCATTCACACCATCCTCCATTCACTCCTCTCCCATCTCACACCATCTCTCCCATCTCACGCCATCTCTCCCATCTCACGCCATCTCTCCCATCTCACGCCATCTCTCCCATCTCACGCCATCTCTCCCGTCTCACGCCATCTCTCCCCTCTCACGCCATCTCTCCCGTCTCACGCCATCTCTCCCGTCTCACGCCATCTCTCCCGTCTCACGCCATCTCTCCCATCTCACGCCATCTCTCCCATCTCACGCCATCTCTCCCATCTCACGCCATCTCTCCCATCTCACGCCATCTCTCCCATCTCACGCCATCTCTCCCCTCTCACGCCATCTCTCCCGTCTCACGCCATCTCTCCCATCTCACGCCAGCTCTCCCATCTCTCGCCATCTCTCCCACCTCACGCCATCTCTCCCATCTCACGCCATCTCTCCCCTCTCACGCCATCTCTCCCGTCTCACGCCATCTCTCCCGTCTCACGCCATCTCTCCCATCTCACGCCATCGCTCCCATCTCTCGCCATCTCTCCCATCTCACGCCATCTCTCCCATCTCACGCCATCTCTCCCATCTCACGCCATCTCTCCCCTCTCACGCCATCTCTCCCGTCTCACGCCATCTCTCCCGTCTCACGCCATCTCTCCCGTCTCACGCCATCTCTCCCGTCTCACGCCATCTCTCCCATCTCACGCCATCGCTCCCATCTCTCGCCATCTCTCCCATCTCACGCCATCTCTCCCATCTCACGCCATCTCTCCCCTCTCACGCCATCTCTCCCGTCTCACGCCATCTCTCCTGTCTCACGCCATCTCTCCCATCTCACGCCATCTTTCCCATCTCACGCCATCTCTCCCATCTCACGCCATCTCTCCCATCTTACGCCAGCTCTCCCATCTCTCGCCATCTCTCCCACCTCACGCCATCTCTCCCATCTCACGCCATCTCTCCCCTCTCACGCCATCTCTCCCGTCTCACGCCATCTCTCCCATCTTACGCCAGCTCTCCCATCTCACGCCATCTCTCCCATCTCACGCCATCTCTCCCATCTTACGCCAGCTCTCCCATCTCTCGCCATCTCTCCCACCTCACGCCATCTCTCCCATCTCACGCCATCTCTCCCCTCTCACGCCATCTCTCCCGTCTCACGCCATCTCTCCCACCTCACGCCATCTCTCCCATCTCACGCCAGCTCTCCCATCTCTCGCCATCTCTCCCACCTCACGCCATCTCTCCCATCTCACGCCATCTCTCCCCTCTCACGCCATCTCTCCCGTCTCACGCCATCTCTCCCATCTCACGCCAGCTCTCCCATCTCTCGCCATCTCTCCCACCTCACGCCATCTCTCCCATCTCACGCCATCTCTCCCCTCTCACGCCACCTCTCCCGTCTCACGCCATCTCTCCCGTCTCACGCCATCTCTCCCATCTCACGCCATCGCTCCCATCTCTCACCATCTCTCCCATCTCACGCCATCTCTCCCATCTCACGCCATCTCTCCCATCTCACGCCAGCTCTCCCATCTCTCGCCATCTCTCCCATCTCACGCCATCTCTCCCATCTCACGCCATCTCTCCCATCTCACGCCAGCTCTCCCATCTCTCGCCATCTCTCCCCTCTCACACCATCTCTCCCGTCTCACGCCATCTCTCCCGTCTCACGCCATCTCTCCCATCTCACGCCATTGCTCCCATCTCTCGCCATCTCTCCCATCTCACGCCATCTCTCCCATCTCACGCCATCTCTCCCATCTCACGCCATCTCTCCCCTCTCACGCCATCTCTCCCGTCTCACGCCATCTCTCCCCTCTCACGCCATCTCTCCCGTCTCACGCCATCTCTCCCGTCTCACGCCATCTCTCCCGTCTCACGCCATCTCTCCCATCTCACGCCATCTCTCCGATCTCACGCCATCTCTTCCATGCCCGCTCCTCAAGTCAGCCAGTTGCTTTTGTGCCCACTAACCATCCGCCGCATCCCCCCCTCCCCTCCCCCTCGCCCCCGTTTCCCCTCCCCCTTTCCTGCACCCTCCACTTGCCCAGGCGCGGCTGCATGCTGCTGCTGGGTGTGGGGGGCGAGTGAAGGGGGGAGGGGGCGAAGTGAGAGACACAAGGGCGAGGAAGGACGGAGGGTTGGAGGCGGGCTGGGGAGAGGAGGGTGGGATGGGCGGAGAGGGAGAGAGAGGAGGGGGGGAGGGAGAGGGCATGGGAGGAGACAATGTGGAGGCAGAAGTATGGGGAGATGAGATGGAAGGGGAGGGAGTGGGGTGTGAGGGAGGGTGTGGGAGAGTGAGTGTGAGGGAGTGGGACCTGTGCGTCACTGCTGCAGTGGCGGCGCTCTGCCTCTTGTTGGGACTGCCGCCTCCCATCCGCATTCCTTATCTCGTTAGTATCGCCTTTGCGTTCGTTCAAACCTGTACTTCCAATTCCTGTGCCACATGTTTCTACCCACCCAATTTGCTTCGTTTCGTTTTCTTCCCAAAACGAGTCCAGTAGACCTTCCGGTCCCCTCTGTGCTGCTGTTTCCCCCTTCATGCGCCATCGATTCCCTCTTATAGCCCCATCCGCCGCTCCCACCAGCTCAAGCATGACACTGCAGTGGAGTGGACCGACTCTCCTGTCTCAGACCCGCTTTTCCTGCACCTCCGTTTCCCTTCCTCCCCACCTGCCACCACCTCGTCGCTCCAGAGCTCCATCCGCCTCTCCTACCTGCTCAAGCATGCGCCTAAGCCGTGGTCTCAGGAGCGCCTGGCAGATTCTCATCTGACCCTTTCCCGGGGGCAGACCCCTCGCCACGCCGCCATGCCCGTGGCTGAGTCTGACTCCATGCTCGTGCCGCTCTCACCTGCCGCCCAGGGGAAATCGTCAGCGCCAGCCAGTGCCATTGAGAGCGCAGCACACGCTCCTCCCCATGCAACTCCCTCCTGCCCCCCACACTCCCATCGCCTTCCCCTCGCTCCTCCTCTCGCCGCCCTCGTGTGTGAGTGGCGCACCGTGGGTGGGCTGCTGGCGGCGCTGCTGGCGCTGCTCGCCCTGCCATCCACGCCTGCCCGCCTCCTCACACTCGTGCCCGTGGCTCCGGTCATCGGCACATGCATCGCTGTGAGTGCCTCTCATGGACCGCTGCTCCACGTGCGCGCATGGGGCAGTGTCTCACGCAGCATGTCTGTGGGTGCACATGTACCCACATGCCAATTCCTACTCAGCCTGTGGCACTCGTGCTGGGCCCAGCACACATCGCATCCCTCAACCCCATCCCCCCCCTCCCCTTGTGTTGCTCTTCTCCATGCTGTGTTTCCCCCTACCATTGTCTCCCTCTCTTCCCTTTTCCCTTTTCCGCATCGCATATTCTCCTCCCTCGCACTTCCCGTCCCCCCACCCTTCCCCCTTCTCCCTCCCCTGCAGATATCGGTCCTCCTCGTCCCCCCCTCCCTGCACCTCCACATCCTCCTCTCCCTCGCGCATCCCTCCCGTCGCCCATCTTTCCCTCCCCTCCCGCCCTCCGCCCTCCCCTTCCTCCGCCGCCTGACCACCCTCGAGTGCTTCTCGGCCTGCCTGCTCCTCGGGTGGTCCTACCTCCCTTCCCTCGGCCCCTCCTTCCCTCTCCCCCTCCTCCTCCTCGCCCTCCTCCTCAACCCCTTCCTCCTTCGCCTTCTCCCCCCCTCCCCCCGCTCCCTCCTCTCTCCTCCTCTCCTCCCCTGTGCTGCGACTCGCAAAGGCAGCGGCTTCAGCAGCAGGGGAAGTGTCATTAACAGCAGCAGTGGCAGCAGCAGCAGCAGCAGCAGCAGCGCGCGTTGGCAGCAGGAGGTTGGGAGAGGGTGCGGGAGTGAGGGAGGGGATGGCAGCCATGGCAGCTGGGATGCTGGGGATGGGACGGATGGGCGGGTGGAAGAGGTAGAGGGGAGAGGAGGGGGGAGAGGGGAGGAGCACAGAGGCATCATGGATGGAGGGGAGGGGGGGGGGCAGAGAAGGGGAGTGAGAGTGCGGATGGGGAATGGAGGCGAAGGGGCGTGAAGAGGCGATCAAGGGGGGAAGGACAAGAGGGCGATATGGAAGCCGTGCAATGCAGGCAGATGCAAGGCCATGAGGGTGGGGATGGGCATGCGCATAGATCTCCCAATGCGGGATTGCAGAGCGCTGTGGCAATGCATGTGGGAATGCATGTGGGAATGGCAGCCGCATGGGGCGCGCATGACACGTCTTCTGATGGCCATGACCCACACGCCCGCCTGCACCATCCACGCTATCCTCTTGACCGTCCATCGCCTTTCCTGCGCCAGCCATTTGAACCCGAACTGTCTGCCCGTGGCAGGGCGAGGGTGGACGGGGAGTGCATGGGCGGGGGAGTGCCTGTGGTGGACGCTTTAGATGGGGAGGACGCGGATGAGGAGGGGGGTGGGGGGAAGGGCGACGAGGAAGAGGGGGGTGAAAGAGAGGAGGTGGAGAGGGAACTCGAGGATATCGCTGAGAAGGGCGCGCAGCAGCTGGAGGGGGAGGAGCGAACACCAAGTGACGCGGGTGCCACCCCGTCGCTCCCTCCCCCATCGCTCCCTCCCTCGTCGCTCCCTCCCCCGTCGCTCCCTCCCCAGTCGCTCCCTCCCCCTTCGCTCCCTCCCCCGTCCGTCCCTCCCCCGTTCTTCCCTCCCCCGCCCGTCCCTCCCCCGTCCGTCCCCCCTGTCACGGTGCACAGCAGCGCCCTCTTCTCCCCCGCCACCATCATTGCCGCCCTGGCGGGCAGCTCGTCCACCAGGGGGAGAGGCAACGGGAAGGGCGGAGGAGGGGCAAGCGAGGGTTGGGAGGGGAAAGAGGGAGGGGGGACGAGGAGGGTGAAGAGGCGCGGGATTGGGGCAGAGAAGGGGGGAAAGGATGGCGGGTGGGCAGGATGGTGGGACGCAGGGGTTGAGAGGGATGGCCACGGTTATGTTAATGGTGATGTTCGTGGTGACACAAAAGGGGAACTCGAGGGTGGTGTGCACGCAGCAGCAGATAGTGGCAGGTTGACTGAGGCACTGAAAGGTAAAAAGGCGATGGATGGAGGCACGCGAGCGGCAGACATTGGTGCTCGGTTCAGAGGGCTGCTGCAGAAAGGGAGAGAGGACGATGGGGGGATGGGAGGCACGGTGGCTGTTGAGAGGAGCGAGGAATCAGAAGTGGATGAGGAGGACGAGGGGCATCTGGAGAGTGAGGAGGAGCAAGAAGAGACAGGAGAGGAGGATGGTGAAGGGGGAGACGAAGTGGAGGGCGGTCCAAGTGACTGGACAGGCACGACTGGGACAGGAATGAGCGAGGGAGAGGAGGGCGCGGGTGAGGCGAGTGAAGGGGAAGAGGATGGGGGGTGGAGTGCAGGAGAACGGAAACCATAAGGAGCGAGGAGGGAGATGAGGGTGGGCCGAAGCACACAGTGGATGCACACAGGGGGGCAGCAGGTGGCTCTGGAGGGGCGGTGGGTGGAGCAGGGGGGGTGGGAGAGGAGGGACGTGATGAGGGATCGGAGGAGGGACACGATGAGGGATCGGAGGAGGGATCCGAGGTAGGTGGGGTGGGGGGTGGGGTGGAAGGGGCGCAGGAGGCAGCAGTGGCGTGGGGGATGGCGCAGATGGCAGCAGCTGAGGAGCCGACAGGGCTTGGCGGGCTTGGAAGTGGTTTGGGGTCGGGGGCTGGGGTGAGTGCAGAAGGGGTGGCGAGGCGAGTGGGTGTGTGCGTGGAGGAGGTATCGAGCATCATCGGGCGCATGTCGGCCGACGTGGTGTCGTGGGCGCCCTCCACGCCCTCGCCCACGCATGAGCGGAGCAGTGAGGAAGAGAGAGAGGGGGGAGTTGGGAGGGAGGGGAGGGATTGGAAGGGGGGTGAGAAAGAGGGGAGGAATGAGAAGGGGAGCGGGGGAGGCACACAGGTTGCAGGAGGGGCAATGAAGCCGGGGAAGGGCGAAGGGTGGAAGGCGAGTGTGGGTGGGGCATTAGAAGCAGGGGGAGGAAGAGGGGGGAGAGCAGTGAGTGCGAGGGGGACACATGGAATGCTCTCTGGCAGTGGTGCCAGTGGTGCCAGGGGTGCTGCTGCTGCTGCCAGTGGTGCTGGTGCTGCCAGGGGTGCAGTGGCTGCGGTTGGGGGTAGTTCTGCTGGTAGTGGTGGTGCTGCTAGTGGCGGTAATGCTGTGGCTGCTGCTGCTGGCGGGCAGGGCGAGGATGCCATTGTGGCGGAACGGGTGGGCATGGGGGGGCGGGCCGGGAATGTGAGGGAGGGAGGGAGTGTGGGAGGGAGCAGTTCAGGTTATGCTGCGAGTGCGAGTGGCAGTGCGGACAGCACACGGCAGCAGTCACTCGTGCCATCAGCAGAGTGGTCCCTGGATCCTTCAGCTGGACTTGCGACAAAGAGCACAGTCAGCAGTGAAAGTGGTGGTCGATCAGGAATATGCCTGTATGGCTCAGTGGGTATGCAGCATTATGCTCATGCTGCCACTGCTCTTCATGGCTCAGCCATTCCCAATGCTTCTCGTGCGATGCGTGCGCATGCAATGCATGCCCATGCTGCACGCAATGATGCTCTGAATGTTCACACCACACGTGCTGCCATACCTTCCTCCTTGGCAGCTACTCAAGCAGCAGAAGCGCATGCAGCACACGCAGCACATGCAGCACATGCAGCACGTGCCCATACCACAAGTTCAGCCATCAGCCCCGTGCTGGCAGCCCAGCAACCACACCCTCCCAGGAACCCCCCACACACCAGCACCGCCCCTCAGGGCAGCATGAGAGGCTCGGGCGGCGTGCCTCCCCTCCAGCCTCCTCTGCGGGCGGTGAGAGGAGGCAAGCGAGGGGTGGGGGATGGAGAGGGGGGCAGGGTGGGCCGGCATGTGGAGGCCACGCACCCTTCCCTCATGTTCCTGGCGCGCCGTGCCGCCACGGCTGCCCATGCCCCTTGAGACCCTCTTGCTCGCATGAAGGTTCACATCCTCTAGCACGGCATTGAAGTGCGCATATTGGACTATCTTGACCTCGTTGTCAGACCAAAATGTCATGTCTTTCCTGATTACAGCTGAATTTTCTAGCCTTGCGTAACTTACATGACCCTAGATTTTGAGCTGTCTACAAGAAAACCACCTTATCTCCCTCCCTGCTGTTCTTGGCAGCCTGCTGTGTCGACAATAACGAATTTGGTTAAAAAGGAACGCTGTCGTAGTTTTTTTACTATGTCAACATTGTCTCGTCGCGTGTCATCTCGTCGAAAAGCACATAAACGCTTCTCACCAGATCACACCGCATACCGTATTCACCCGGATATAGTACCCTAGGGAGCTAATAAAAATTCACGAAAATTTTGGGGTGGGTGGAATTAAAGCCCGCGGCTAAAATAGCAGTCCTGGAAACCACTTGAATTTGGTGTTTTGAAAGCCGTCCAAGTATAGAATGTGTTGGGCTGAGAAAAGCCCTTAGGATCTTTTGCAGAGACTAAGTCCCAGCTGTAGAGACTTGAGACTTGGAGTAGTGCAGCGGAAGTTGAGGCAGTTGAACCCTTGTACTAGTATGTGAGAACAAGTGATTGATTAAAGAAACAAGCATACAGCAATATATAGTAGATAAGAAAGCAGTTGTAGAATACAGTTACAGGAACGGTTTATCGAGTCGCACAGCGACTCGATTGCCGCTTCGGTTACCATCCGTGATGTTGTAACGGTCAGTCGCAACCTCCAGTTGCGACCTTTCGAGTCCTTTCGCATTCTTTGTCCGCCCCCTCGTGTAACCTCCGTTGACTCGCGTGCTCCCCTGTAATCTTCCTCGAGTACGGTGTTACACTTCAGAAACGCTTAAGTCCTTGAGATATTTCCAACACTCCCCTTCGTTTCTGGAGTGCTGGAGTGTTCAGATCCGGTGGCGTTTGTTTGCCCGGTTAGGAGCATGCAGTAGTCGAATTTTGCTTTCGCCAATTTCTTCGTCAGATAATCTGCGGCCATTTCTGTCGTCGGGCAGTAACTGAGTTGAAGTCTCCCCTTCGCGATTTCATCCTTGACGAAGAAGTACCGCAGGGCGATGTGCTTGGTTCGATTGGCGAAGCCGTCCTTGTTCGCGATTTTGATCGCAGATTGGTTGTCGCAGAGGAGTGAGAAGGCGGGCAGGGTCGCGATCTTCGCTTCTTCGAGTAACTCTCGTAGGTAGAGTCCTTCCTTGGTCGCAGTACAAAGGGCGATATACTCTGCTTCAGCCGAGGATAGTGCGATTAACTCCTGCTTGCTCGACTGCCAGGAGATAGTTCCGATAGGTTCTAGTCGGTAGATGTAGCCCGTCCTAGACCGTCGATTTTCGCTGTCTCCCGCGTGGTCGGCGTCGACGTATCCGAGTAGTCGTACGGACGGTGTTGTTGCCTTGCTGTAGGTAAGCCCGATCGTCGGCGTGGAGACGAAGTAGAGTAGCGCTCGATTGAGTTCTTCGAGATCTTCCTGTTGCGGATGCTTCAGATGTGTCGCCAGCTGACTCGCACTATAGGATAGGTCGGGTCGGCAGGTTACTGCTGCGAATAGTAGGCACCCGAGCTTCTGTTGATACTCCTGGATTTGTTTCGCGGGGAGTTTTGTAGAGGCGCTGCCGTTGTTCCCGTAGCGGTAGGGAGTTGGGACCGCAGTCGGTGTTAGAGCGAATTTCTTCGCGACGGTGCTTGAGTACTTTCCAGCGTGTAGGTAGAACGCCGTGTCGTCTTCGACGACGTTCAGTCCTAGGTACTGCGTAACTTCGTCGGACACCGTGAGAGTTAAATCTTCTTTCAGCTCCCCTTCGAACCAGGTGGCGATGTCGGTAGTTGAGCCGATGTAGAGCAGGTCGTCGACGTAGACGATGAGCAGAACATACTCTCTTCCCTTCTGCAGTCGGTACATCCCTTGGTCATGCGGCAGCTGTAGGAAGCCGATTTTTACGAGACGGCTGTGAAGGTGCTGCTGCCAGAGCCGCGGGGCTTGCTTGATCCCGTATAGGGATTTTGTCAGTCGGCATATTTTCGTGGGGTCGTCGATGAATCCGTGGGGTTGTTCGACGAAGATCTCAGCGTCCACAGGTGCGTATAGGAACCCATTCGCGACATCGATTTGGCGTAGTGGTAGTGTTTTTGTGGCCGCGACGGCGAGTAGGATGCGTAATGAGGTGTGACGGGAGACTGGGGCGAAGGTTTCTGTGTAGTCGGTTCCGTATCGTTGATCGAAGCCTCGCACGACCCATCGAGCTTTGAATCGTTCGATGGAGCCGTCTGAGTTGGTCTTGATGCGGTACACCCATTTCCCCGAGAGAACGTTCTTCCCGTTGATGCTCGTTGCAGGTACCAGTTTCCATGTTTCTCGGTCTTGCAGAGCTTTTAACTCCTTTTCCATCGCTTCTTTCCATTTTGCCTTATGTTCCCCCCCCAGAGCCTGCGACAAGGTTGAAGGCTCACGCGTAGAAGGCGGCGGCGGATGCTGGACGGAGACCCAGAGGCCTAGAATCTGGAGTCCCGTGGGTGTGTGTCGAGGGGAATTGTCATTCCCCGAATAAGCTGCTTCGTCACCGTCTTCGGGGTCAGGTAAGAAATTGGGGCCGATGCGTTCCGAAATATTCGTGTCGACGGGGTGAGGTGTAGCGTAACCTTGGTCGGCGAAGTGGTAAAAGGTGTCGAGGTTGTTGCTATCGAGGGGATTATCTTCATCGAGTGGAACAGGTATGGAACAGAATGGGAGTGGCCCGGCAGCTTCCGAGGCTCCAGGTACGTCTTCTTCTGCTGCGTCAGCCTCGGCAGCATGGTCAGCGAAGGAGCGAAGGCCCGCGAAGCCGTCGGTGGGGTCGTCTGAGTTGGCAATGTTGTCCAGGTAATGCTGCAGCGTCAGTCGCTCGTAGAAGATAACATCACGTGATGCCACCGTATTTTTGTCTTGTATGTCGAGGATCTTCCACGCGTGAAAATGTTTGGCGATGCCGAGGTGTAGTCCCCACCGAGCTCGTTGAGTGAAGCGTCCTGCTCGAGCTGTGTGGGGTCTGTATTGTACCATGCAGCCGAAAACTCGAAGTAATTTTGTGCTGCCCCTTTTTCCCGTCCACAGCAGGTGTGGTGATGCGTTGTTGGGGAGCGATGACGAGGACAACAGGTTGTGCAGGTGGACTGCATGTGTCATCGCGTCTGGCCACAGTGCGTTGGGCAGCCTCATCCCCAGAAGCAGTTTTCGCATCGTCGTCTGCAAGGTCCGGTTCATGCGTTCTGCTACCCCCTGCTGCTGGTGAGCATAGGGCAGAGACACCAGGCGTCGGATTCCCCTTTCCGCGAGATAGGTCCTGAAGCGTTGTGACTGGTATTCCAGTGCACCGTCTGACTGGAAACTCTTGAGTTTGGTTCCTGACTCTCGTTCGGCGATTGGAAGCCATGTGGTGAATGCCTCGAAGGCTTGATCGCGCGTTTTGAGATTGAAGTGCCAGACGTATCTGGTTGCGGCGTCGATGAACGTGATGACGTAGTTGAAGTCGGCTTCGGTGTCGTCTCGAGGCATGTTTAGAATATCGCTGTAGACCTTTTCCATCGGAGCGTAATCGGGTGCGCTTGGATTGTGATGGGCTGGGAAAGGTTGATGAGGAAGATCTGCTTCGGGGCATGTGAAACACCGTGCGCGTGGTCGTCGGAGTTCCTGGCCGCTCGTCGTCAGAAGGGCGTTGCGTTCTAACACTTCTGCTTGGATTGTTTGAAGTATCGTGCTGTTTGCAGGATGTCCGAGACGTTGGTGCCAGATGTCGTCGGGAGCGCGGTGACCGGGCGAGCGGTGGTAGATGTCGGCGTTGGAGAAGAACGCGACGACCGAGGCGGGACTTCGACAAGCTTCTCGTGTGGCGGGCATAAGTTGGTCTGCTTCGGTTGGCTGTCCTCGTGTCGCTGGTGGTGGTACTCGGCTGGGTCCTGCTGCCGATACTGCAGGTGATGGTTTTGTTGGGACACATGCGGGTACTTGTCTTTCTTGTCTGATAACTGCTAATGCTCGTGTTCTTTCTGCTGCAGGTATGGTGTTGGAGTGCCAGAAGCCGTCGCTGTCGAAGTCGGGATCAAGATCTGGCGGATGAGTCCAGGCGGCGAAGGATACGATACCGTCGCTGTCGGCAGTTCCGCGGTCGGGGACGAAGTCCAACACGAAGACACCGGACTTCAGGAGGGCACGACCGATGAAGAGACCGCCCTTCCCGTGGTAAAGTCGGAACTCGTTGGAGAAGGAGTCGCACTCCAGGTGAATCCCCTTAGCCATTAGTTGGCTTACGCTTAATAGGTTGTATCCCAGATTGTCGACGATGAGGACCTTGTTGAGCTGAAGAATAACGTTTGTCTCCATTGATTGTAACTGAACCACGCCTTGTCTATTTGTTTTCAGGTTTTCGTTGTTGGCGACGGTGATGACGACGTCACGGTTGAGGCGTCGCTCGTGTTGTACGAAGCGTCCGGAGGAGCACATGTGCTGACCGCAGCAACTGTCCAAGAACCAGGTGTTCCGCCCGGTGGGTTCGGCGTTAGCGACTGCAGCGTATGTCGGGTTGACCTGAAGTCCTTGCGAGCGCGGCGGCGGGAATTCCTCTTCGTCTGGTGCGTAAGTGGGTGGTGAAGCGGGTGCGCAGTTGTCGATGTGTACCATGCAGTTGATGATGTTGGGTGTTTGTTGTGCAGATGTTGAAGAGCGCCTTGGAGGACTTGCTTGAGTGGAAGCGACTTGTGGGTCTGCTGCACGGTAAACGCGAGGGCGGTTGCAGTTGACCTTGGAGTGCCCGGAAGTCTGACAGTTGTGGCAGAACGGCGGCACGATGGTGAGTCCTCGGTTGTCGCGTTGATCTTGCTTGCTGCGTCGGTTGTAGTTGTTGTCATTTCTTCTTTGAGTGTAGAAGACTAACTGCTGTTGCTTCCTTGGTTGTCTTTCCTCGAACAGATCCATCTCCTGTTGTTCAGCGTGAAGCTCGGCGCAGAGGTGCATCTCCGAAATTCTTCCGTGGGCTCGAAGAAGTGATCGTGTGGTTCTCCATTCTGGCCCGAGCCCGGCGAGGACAAGTGTCACGAAGCTTTCTTCAGTGATCGTTCCTCCGCACCGAAGCAGGCGGTCGCGGAGGGTCTGGCAGCGACTCATATACTGCAT